AATACATCAAATAACAATACATTTAATTGTAATATATAATAAGGATATTATTAGTTTAACCCAACTTTTTTTAATGAATAAATAGAGCTAAATAAGCTGATAACATTCTTATATTAAGAATATAAATAATGCTGACAGTAAACTATTTTCATGTTTTGTAAGATCTTATCGGTTATGAAAAGCCAATGATTTTTTGTGATACTCTTCGGCCCTAGCTATAAAAGTAAATGATCTAAATTTACTTCCGCTTCTACACTTGCAAATATATATTTTAACTTTTATATTTTGAAATTATCATAAATAAAAGTTAATTTTAAGCTTAAAAAATCATCGATTAAAACCATTAAATAAACGATTAAAACTTACCCAGTCTTTTTTTATAGGCTATTTGATTTTTTTTTTATTTTAACTAGCCAACTTTTAAAGTGAATAAGCTAAATTCAAATGTATTTTTATTTTTTATTTTATTATGTCAATAATTAATTGACAAAACTTTAACTAATACTATGTCAATGCAAAAAAACTGGTAATTTCTGATAATAGATTAATGAGAACAGATTAATTAAGCAAAAAATATATAGGTTCAAATAATTTAATGTGCCAGAAAGTTAGAAAAAATCTCAAATGACAGTTGGTAAAAAGTGAATAGATGTTATTTCAAATGGAAAAAAATGAGATGCTGCACTATGGAATTGACATATTACTGCTGCTGTGCCAGATTCACATTTTTGATGGCTGTCTTAGATGATTCTATGCAATACACAATTCTTATTGTAGTAGTTATAAGCATAACATACTTAGATTTGATTAGTCATCTTCAATAATCATTGTTATATGAATTTTTAAATAGTTAAGAGTATTTTTTTAAAAAAATTATCATATTTGCCCTAAAATTTTAAATAATAATACTTGACGAATGATGAAACTTTCATTATTAATGAATAATGAAACCTTTTATCAAGTCAATTTTAAATGATGAATTGATGATTAACAAAACTCATAACAATTGATTAAACTTATAATAATTGACAAAATTTATAACAAAACCTATAACAAAACCAATATGCATCCTTATTTGGATACATTCCAGGCTAAAGATCACTTTCAATATATATCAGAATCAATGGAATCACAGAATTTTGTATTACAATTCTAGCTGTTGCATCAATTTTGTCATACAGATTCTTAATTTTAATTGGCTAATGACCATAATTTGCAATTTTTGGTATGCATTATATAATTGTTTACTTAATTTTTGGCCAAAATTAACCTTTTAACTTTTTTATATATATCTGAAATGTGTATTAAGTTTGTAGTGCAACTGTGGTGCATATTGTCTAAACTTGGAATCTGATTTCAAAATCTGGTGTAATGTAATATGATCTGAAAAATTCAAAAAAATGTTTGCTTTATTAAACATTGTCTATTTCTCAAAAATCTGTATAAGAAACTGGCTTTAGTACTCTAACAAAAGTTTTTCAAGTGATTTTGCTACATATCTTCAACCTTTAACCTTATTCTAAATGCTAATCTTAACAATAAAAAATTTTGCTATGTCATAAGCCTAACATATTTCAGATATACAAAGTAGAAATTGATTAGGCCAACAACATTTTTCACTTAATAGGCAGCAGTGATTTTATTAGTAAAAGTTTTAGTAATTTAATCTGAATTTTTGATCATTGCTCTTAGCCAACTACAATTAAAAATCTATTATGATAATTTTGGTAAGGCAGCTAGGCTTAATATAAAAAATCTGCAAAATAATTCTATAATGACGACCATTAAGTGAAAGTTTTTTCTTATAATACACATACTGACATTATATTAATTATCTGAATATCCAATGAACCTGATGTAAACTATTAATATTAAACAACAAGTATTATTAACTTCAAATTCGATATAATTTAAAACCAAAATTTCATATAAATCAGCCAAACTTTATTATAAAATAATAATAATTAAAAAAAATTTAAAATCATCATTATGAGTGTCGCTATATGAAATCTTGAAAATTTAAATATAAGTTATATTTAAATTTTCAGGTTTTCTTTTAGCAACACTCATATTTAATGATCATTTTAAAGAAGCTCAACAAATACCATAATATACTATATAAAAGATTCTCCTATAAATTATATTTCTAATGAATTAACTCAGGTCTATAATATAGAATAAAATTTTGGCAAAATGTAAGAGACCTGGATATACAAAAGGAAAATACTAAAAAAAATAAAGAAATGAAATAAACCCCCAATCATCATACCTACACTCATACAAAAAACCTTCTAGTCTAAATCTAGGTTTAAAAATTAGTATAATATAACAAACCTAGATCATTTATATAGTACATTATTGTAATAGTTAATTGTATTTTAGTGTTTTATTAGTCAAATTGATTTTTAAATAGTTTGTTAAAGCATTTTTTATAAAGTGTTTTTTATTTTTTTTGATAGTAGTTTTGTTACCTATAGTCAATAGTTTCATCAGAAATCAAATTATTAGTAATAAAACTTAATAAATATTACATAAAACTGATAAAACTTTAACATTACTTTTTAGCTAATGAAACTTCTAATAAAATAAGATTTAGTATATTTAAAAGTCATTATAAAAAATTTGTTAAAAAAAGTCTATTAAATATCATTATATTGATAAATCAATTCATCTAATTATTAGGATTTCATCAAATATCAGAGGTTTTATCTAATTTCATCAAACATCAAAGGTTTTATCTATCTTTAAGAGTTTTGTTAGATAAAACCATGACAAAACCATTTTGTCATTGCAAAAATAGTTTTGTCAGGCATCATTAGTATACTTTATTATATATTAGGATATAAAAAGTTAAATTCATCTTTATCAATAAAATATAAAGCTTTTTGTATAAAAAATTTACATGCTAATATATGATAATAAATATTAATACATAAATTTACTTATTGTAAATACCCTAAACCTCTATTATGATTCATATACTAATAAAATATATTGCAGTAATCCATTTTACTGTTCACTATTAAAAATTTTTGTGAACAGTAAAGTAAAAAAGTGTAATATGCACTTTACTTTCATACTATTTTTTTAGTTTATCACAAGGTTTCTTTTTTTTACTTTACTTTGATACTTTTTTTAAACAATGTAAAGATTTCAGATAATTATGAACTCAAAATGAAGCATAAATAATAAATTAAAAGAACATACAGTGCTGATTACCTAATTTTATTCTTTACTTTTATTATAAACTGTCAGAACCTGATAGTAGTTTTAAAAAACTTCAAGAAATCATTACAGACATGTGTATTTTATATCACAACAAAAATCTGAAGGCATAAAATTTCAATTAATTTTTGACAAATTGGAAAAAATCTGCAGCAAATAAAATTTGAATTCACATGATATTATCACTGTTTGTTTAAACAGTTAGACAAATTCTACAATCCTAAACATACTTGCAAGTTGTTATTATTACAATAAAGAAGTTGAGAAAAATAATAATTAAACATTCATTTATTTCAAAAATTGACTGAAATAAACAATGCTATTGGAATATATAATATCAGATACTGCTATAAATATGGAATCAGAACTAAAAAAATAAACAAAAGCATTCAGTTACTATTATAAAACTGCAGAAATAGAAAACATTTTTAGAATATATTTGGTCAGAATATGTGGAATCAGAGTAGAAGAAGATAGTAATAAAGCCTTTATTTATTATCTAAAGTCCGCAAAAATGAGATTTCTTTATGAATTAAATTAAGTCAGTTCTTTTTATCTTAATAGATACAAAAATATAGTCGAAAAAGACTAACATAAAGCATATATATACCTTGAACAATTATCGTCAATTTCTGATGATTATCATAATGTTATATTAACAATTTAAATATCATTTATAAATTCTTATAAATTCTTAAATTAAAAATCAAATAAATGGAAGGTCCTATTCAGCTCACTCCAAGAAATTTTTCTCATATGATTAGATTTCATCAAAACAATTGAATAAAGAGCAAGATTTAAAGTATTAAAACTTTATTGTTGAGGCAAATAAAGTTTAAAATACTCAGATAGCATAACTTTTATGCAACTTTAATTAATAAAATTAAATTTTGTTTATATATTATTCAGTTAAGCAGTTTATGCAATTAGTCTCCTTAGCGTTAGTAACCAACTTGAAACTGAAATTTTGTATTTATTTATATGGATAATCTTTTAAACAAGTTTGACTGCTTAAGCTAGAATTTGCACTTGCCTTATCAACAGCTGATATATTCATTTTAAAAATATTTTTATATAAATTTTTTTTAAATATCTAACAATTAGTTTTCTTTCAGTATTGTGCTATTGTTGTTATAAAGCGAGAGACTTTAGGTACTTGAATCTATTTAAATTCTTTGCAACTATATATTATTATTTTTAAATGAAAAGTCTAAATAAATTCATCAGGATTTTGTGATAGAACTATTTAAATTTATCATTAACAATCAACCCACACTTAGTGCTTCATCAAGAAAAATACTGCAAGTATACCATAGAGTTAATTTATGTAAATACCTTTTTTTATTGTTTTAAATTTGCAATGAGTCAATAATAAATAAGAATCTCTATAGGAAAATCTTCAAGAATTTAATAATGAGTAGAATGTCATAGAAAGAGAAATAGAGTTCAAGAATAATTTGAAAATTTGCATTTTATCTACGATGGCAAAACAAAAAATTGAGAAACAAAAATCATGAAAAGCTAAAGAAAAAAAATCAACTTAGAAAAGAGATAAAAAATATGTGATATACAAATCATATAGTCCACAGAAAAGAGAATAGCGATCGCAAAAAAGACTATATTATATTTGTAGTAACCCTATTTAAATAAAAGGAAGAAATTGCAATGTTTATATATTTTTATCCGTAAACTTTATTTTAAAGTAAATAAAAAACATAAACTTTTAAAAAAATTTATAAATAAAAAATAAAATTAATTAAATTACGAAATATAAACTAATTGACTTGAGCAAATCCACATGCTAAAATACTTGAATTCGCACCAATTGCAACTGTAATGCTGTATGATGAAGGCAAATCTTTTAAATCATATCTCTCGTCAAAATCAAACACTTTAGTTGGACAATCAGTTACTACATCGCAAATGCCTATAGCATTGGAGTATATTTTTTCATTTCCATTGAAAATTTTAAAAACGAAGAACATGCCATCAACAATATCATCATTGGTATTTGCTGAACCTTTAACCTCGAGCGGAGAATTAGCTTTTGGAGGATCAGGTATAAGTGTTACATTAGTGATTTTTGGAATATCTAGAAATGCTGGACAACTCCCAAATGAAGACTGCCTTTTAACCAGTTGAGATGGAAAAGCATTGGCCATAGAAAGTGCGGTCAAAAAAACGAATAACAAGACAAAATTTCGGATCATAGTTATTATTTGTTTTTATAACGATGGGTATTGCTTTTTTTTTGTTTTGGTTCAAATTATTGCCTTATTATATGAAAAAACAGCACTTGATTTTCATTAATACGTTTTATTTTGGCAATTGATAAAAAAATTAAAATATTCAGAAAAGTTTGTATGAAACATGAGGTTACATGATTTCTCCGACAATCACTTCCTGAAAACAATTTTCTAATAACGATAATTCCAATTAAACATTAAATCAGACTGTTGATCAAATTATCGATGAAAAGATTTTATCAAAAAAGAAATTTAGTTTATGCAGCTCACCAAGTTTAATTGAGCGCCCACCAGATATAATCTCAATGCAAATTAACACATGCATTATTCTAAAATTAGATAGCTGCGCGACGTCATCGCGCGAAAACAGGAACGGAAGAAATTGATAATGGTTAGACTTGAATGTTTAATATGATAAAGAAAGGTGTAGTTAATTATTAATTCAAATAGCTATATAATGATAAGAGAAAAGAATTAAATAATTATTTGCTAT